CTATCATGGATATGAAAATCCTAAGGAGTCTGCTAAAAAAAAAAACCCTAAAATTAATAAATGAGTTCATCAGGGTTGCAGGATATAAGATCAATATACAGTCACCAATTATATTTTTATATATTAGCAATGAACAATCCAAAAATTAATGAAAACAATTCCATCAGATGGAACTGCATCAAGAGGAGATAGAATACTTAGGAATTAATTTAACAAAAGTAGTGCAAAACTTGTACTTTACAAACAAGAAGTAGAAGTAGAAGACATTGCTGAAACTAGAAGACATTGCTAAAAAAGATTAAAGAGGAACTAAATAAACAAAAACACATCCCATATTCATAGATTAGAAGACTAAACACTGTTAAAAAGGTAATACCACCCCAAAGTGATTTACAGATTTAATACAATGCCTATCAGAATCCCAGCTGTTTTCTTTGTAGAAGTTAAAAAGATGATACAAAATTAATATGGAAGTTCAAGTAAAACAAACAATATTGAAAAATACCAAAATTACAGAACTAACACTTCCCAATTTCAAAACTGGCTACAAAACTACAGTAATCAAGATAGTGCAATAGTAGCATAGAGAAAGACATATAGGTCAGTGGAACAGAATTGAGAATCCAGAAATAAACTCTTACATTTATGGACAAATGGTTTTTTAAAAAAGCGATGCCAGTACAATTTAATGGGGAAAGAATAGTCTTTAATGAATGGTACTGGGACAACTGAATATCTGCATGGAAAAGAATGAACTTGGATTCCTATCACATACCACATACAAAAATTAACTTAAGTTGGATTATAGTCCTATATGTAAGAGCTAAAGTTAGAAAACTCGTAATTAGGAAACAGAAGCAAATCTTTGTGACTTTGGGTTAACTAATGCTTTCTTAGATCCACATCAAAAACACAAGCAACAAAAGAAAAAATAAAATAATTTCATAAAAATAAAAACTTTTCTGCTCCAAATAATATCATCAATAAATTAAAAATGCAATGCACAGAATGGTGAAAAAATTATAAAGCATGCATATAATAAGAGAATCATATCTGGAAAATATAAAGAACTCTTGCAACTTAATAACTTAAAAAATGGGCAAAGGATCTCAATAGACACTTCTCTATAGCAGATACATAAATAGCCAATAAGTACGTGAGAAAGTACGCAATATCATTAACAGAGAAATGCAAATCAAAACTATACCATTTCACAACTGCTAGGATGGCTATAAAAATAATTTAGAAAACAATCACAGGTATTGGCAAAGATGTAAAGAATTTGGAGCATTCAAAATACATTGCTATTGGAAATATAAGATAGTTCACTTTGGAAAATATATTGGCAGTTCTTCAAAATTTTAAAAATAGGATTACCATAAAGCACAGAAACTTTAATCTTGTATATCAAAAAGGAATGAAAATACAGGTCCATCCACTCTAAAACTTGTACACAAATGTTCTTAGCAGCATTATTTATACTAGCCAAAAGATGTAAATAACTCGTATGTTTTTACACCTATGCAAGTGAATGTTATTTGGCAATAAAAGGAATGAAGTATAGATACCTGCTGTAACATGGAAGATCCTTGAAAACATTATGCTAGGTAAAGGAAACAAGTCACAAATGACCACATATATATTATATTATTCCATTTATTTGAAATGTCTAAAAGAATGCTGATTATAAAGCCAGAAAGTAGATTGGGGACTGCCTAGGGATGGTGCTGCAGTAGGAGGGGTGGGTGCAGAGTGACTGCTAATCAGTACTGAGTTTCATTTTGGGATGGTGAAAAAGTTACAGCACTAGAGTATGAGATTGGGGCATGTTTGCACAATTCTGTTCATATATTAAAAACAATTATTTTTTCCATTGGATATTCTTTCCTGCTTTGTCAAAAATTAGTTGACCATATAGTTGTGGGTTCATTTCTGGGTTTTCTATTTTGTTCCCTTGATGTATGTGTCTGTTTCTGTGCCAATACTGTACCATCTTGATGACTACAGCTTTGTAATATAGCTTGAAGTCCAGAATTGTGATGCTGCCAGCTTTGCTTTACTTTTTCAAGATTGCTTTGACTATGCAAGGTCTTTTGTTGTTCCATACATATTTCAGATTTGTTCTAGCTCTGTGAAAAATTCTGATATTATTTTGATAGGGATTATGTAGATTGGGGGGGTAATACAGACATTTGAATAATATTTCTCTTATGATCCACAAGCATGGAATGTTTTTACATTTCTTTGTGTTTCCTTCAGTTTCTTTCATAAATGTTCTATAGTTTTCAGCATATGAATCTTTTACCTCTGGTTAGGTTCATTCCTAAGTATCTTATGGGTTTTGGTGCAGTTGTAAATGAGATTGATTCTTTGATTTTTCTTTCTGCTGCTTCATTATTGGTGTTTAGAAATGCAACCGATTTCTGTACATTGATTTTGTATCCTTTGACTTTACTGAATTCATGTATCAGTTCTAGCAGTTTTTGGTGGAGTCTTTGGATTTTCTATATAGAGCATCGTGTTGTCTGTGGATAGAGAAAGTTTGACTTCTTGCTTGCTGATTTGGATGTCTTTTATTTCTTTTTGTTGTCTGATTGCCTATGCTAGAATTTCCAGTACTGTGTTAAGTAACAGTAGTGAGAGTGGACATCTCTGTCTTGTTCCTAGCCATATAGGAAAAGCTCTCAGTGTTTCCCTATTGAGGATGGTATTATCTGTGGGTCTTTTGTATATGGCCTTTAGGATGTTGACGTTATGTTCCCTCTATCTCTACTTTGTTGAGGCTTTTTATCAAGAACAGATGCTATACTTTGTCAAATACTTTTTTTTCTGCATCAGTATTACTCAGCCATAAAAAAAGAATGAAATCTTGCCATTTGTAATGATATGGATGGAACTAAGGTATATTATGCTAAGCAAAATAAATCAAAGAAAGACAAATACCATATCATTTCACTCATGTGGAACTTAAGAAACAAAACAGATAAACACAGGGGGGAAAACAGAGAGAGAAGGAAACAAACCATAAGAGACTCTTAAGTATAGAAAATAAACTGAGGGTTGCTGGAGGGGAGGTGGGAGAGGGATGGGCTAAATGGGTGATGGGTTTTAAGGAGGGCACTTGTTTGTAATGATCAGTGGGTGTTTTACGTAAGTGATGAAACAGTAAATTCTACTTCTGAAACCAATATTACACCATATGTTAACTAACTATAATTTAAATAAAAACTTTTAAAAATCCAATTCATTTGTACCTTTAATTAATTAATTAATTTGAATTGTACCTTTTAAATGGGTGAGTTGTATGGTACGTAAATTATATTCCAATAAAGATGTTGCAAAAAAAAAGTTTGTTTCATTTTGTATTCCTGCTAGCAAAGTATATGAACTTGCCATTGCCCATTATTTTTTTTTATTTTTAGAGATAGAGAGAGTGCATGCATGCGTGGGGGAGAGGGGCAGAAGGGAGAGAGAGATGGTTGGGGGAGAGAATCTCAAGCAGGCTCCATGCTCAGTGCAGAGCCAGACACAAGGCTCAATCTCATGACCCTGGGATCTGAGCTGGAATCAAGAGTCAGACGCTCAACCGACTGAGCCACCCAAGTGTCATGCCATTGCCCATTTTAATGTTAACCAATAAACACCAAGAAATTTGCCAATTTGATAAACTTAAACAGTGGTTCAACTGAAAGAGATTTTGCTCCCCTGTGGCCATTTAGCAATATCTGGAGACATTTTTGATTGTCACAACTGGGGTGGGGGAATGTTACCAGCCTCTAATGAGTAGAGGCCAAGGATGCTGCTAAATATATTTACAGTGCATAAAGCATCTCCCTACACCAAATAATTATCCAACCCAAAATGTCAGTAGTATCAAGACTAAGAAATCTGTACTAGAAATAGCATCTTGTTTCAGTTTATACTCACTTAGTATATATTAGTAAGGGTAGGTTTTTTTCCCACATGTTTACTAATGAGCTGTATTTATAAATCATCTGTTTATATCATTAGTTCATATTTCTCATAAATTTGTATGAGTCCCTTTTAGTAGTAAGATATTAACCATTTTATTTATTGAGTTTCTTTTTAAAAATTTTTAAAAACCTGAGTATAGTTGACACACAATGTTACATTAGTTTCAGGTGTACAACATAGTGATTCAATAAGGGTACAGGTGATGCTGTGCTCACCTCAAGTGTAGCTACTATCTGTTACCACACAAACTGAGTTTATATTTTTCCAGTTGTTTCCTTGTAAATTTTGCTTAGGTTTATAATCAATATGTTTATTTTTTATATGGTCATACATCATTTTAAATTATATCTAGTCTAGACAGTTCTTCCCCTTCCTGGCCACCCCACCCCAATAATTTCATTTTTATTAAATTTTTTTCTTAGTTTTATTTTTTCACATTTAACTTTTTAAATTCATGTATGATTTATTGTAATGTGCATTATGAGATAAGGAATACTTTTTTTCTAAATATCAATGTCTGGTCTTCTTTTGAAGAAACATTTGGCTTACAGTGCATTTTTGAGGCTCAAGGTAACTTTCAAAAAATGAAGCTTTCCACAGGTTTATGCAAGAGTGAGAATGTGCAGTTATTCCTTATCTTCCTTAACTATGAAGTACAATAACATTCTATAAGGTAGTTAGGTGTTTGTAACTCACCTAACTCAGGACAAAGCAATAGTCATGTATATCACCATGTCAGTCTTGCGGAATTATATAAAGAAATGTCAACACTGGAAATGGAAATTGCTTGCAGTTTGGGATTATTAATAAGTCTTTACTTAAATTAATGAATTTTTTGATAGGATCAGAGAGTTGGAGAAAGTGATACTTTGTGTGTATTTGGCAAGAAGGAGGACATAATTTCTAATTAAGAAATTACAAGTGATTGTCGATTTATAACATAATACAGAAATTTTATGAGTCTCTGATAATCAGTTCAATGAATGAATGGAAATAAGTACAGATATCTTCCTATTACTGTACAGATGGAGAATGAGTTAGATTCTGCTCGCTCTGAAATAGAACTCCTCAGGAGTCAGATGACAAATGAGAGAATCTCCATGCAGAATCTAGAAGCTTTGCTGGTGGCCAATCGAGACAAAGAATATCAGTCTCAGATAGCACTTCAAGAAAAAGAATCTGAAATTCAGCTTCTTAAAGAGCACCTTTGTTTGGCAGAAAATAAAATGTGAGTTGGTTAGCAATATAATAGCATAAAGTCATATTTTAAATAATTTTGATGCTTTATAGGGTAGTAGAATTTTAGAGCTGGAATTTAGACAATTTAGTGCCCATCTTCTGCCATCAGTTAAACTGAGGACTAGAAACATTGTGATTTGCCTAAGATTTATTACTCATTTCTATTATATGTTTGCCTAAATGCATCTAAATTTAAATTTAACCATCCCTATTACTTCCAACAGAGCTTTGGATATAATAGAATGTCTGACCTAAAATATTACCTTTTAGAAATATAAAAAGTTCTTAGAAGAAATAAAGCACATAGGAAACCAGAGCATTTTTCTATTTATGGACCCACCTGGTGTTGTTATTGTTACCTAGTCTTTAGACTTGTAACATTGTATTTCCTAATGTACTTGTAAGTATACACCGGATACCTGGAAGAACTCTCACATTCATAGAATACTGAAGATCTTCCTTAGAGTACTGATTTTGGCTTAAAAATTTTTTTTTAAATTTATTTTTGAGAGAGAGAGACAGTGTGTGCAGGAGAGGGGCAGAGAAAGAGGGAGACACAATCTGAAGCAGGCTCCAGGCTCTGAGCTGTCAGCACAGAGCCCAATGCAGGGCTAGAACTCACAAACTGTGAGATCATTACTTGAGCCAAAGTCAGACGCTCACCACCCACTGAGCCACTCAGGCACCCCTTGGCCTTTTTTTTTTTTTTTTTTTTTAATGCATCATAGCACCATTAGGATCTTACTACAAGACCCTTAGCTGGAAGGTTCAGTAGAAATGCCTGCCTGTATAGTGAATGTTTTATTACTAAACTTGGCGACTTCTCACAAAAACTGATGGGGACCCTTAGCCTCTATTCTTATGTCCCATCTATAAACTTTTTCATCCAGCCTCAAGTCTGCCCTCCAATCTGAGCATGAGACCTGGGAAAGGATAGGAATCATGGTCTCAGGAACCAGTCACTCATAGGAGCCTCTGACTGAGCAAAGACTGCAAAGCTGGGGCCAGTTTCCTTGAGAAACTGTTTTCAGATTATGGCAGCTGTGAGTCATTCTTTTCCATCACCACAGCTGGGATTCAGCTGGTTCTGCAGGATCACTTTCTCAAGCCGATATATGGAAATTGGCCTTAGTGAAATGTGCCCAAAACCCCACCTTTAGGGGTACATTCTGTTTTAGACTGGTTGATAAGTACTATTACTCAGAACTGGTAAGCATAACAAACTTTTGTGTTCTTAGTCTCTAAGGTTTAGATTTTAGCAGTCAACACTGCAATTCTGAAGACAAGCAAAGAGGATAGAATGTTCTATGCAAGCAACATTCTTTGTTGTCATCATCTTCCTTATGACAGTGTGCCTAATGATGGGGTTTTTGAGGCATTGTTTAACCCTAAGGAAAATCCAGTTAAATTGAAAAGATTTTATGTTTTTAACAGTTTGAATATCAAATTTCATTATAAATTATGTAAATCAAATTTCATTATAAGTATATATAAAGCACTTGGTTGATTTAATAAATATATATAATAGACTAAAGTAATCATGGTGTTGATTTTTTGGTTATAGTACTACTTTGCATATAATACCTTAAAGCACTTTAAAAAATAGATAATATAAATAGATAAGTGATAATCTTATCCCATCTAAACATAGGAAAACTAATACAGAAGGTTTAAAATTGAATGGGACTGAGACAGCTTACGTTTTTCAAGTAGGCTACTTCCATATTAACTACATCTAAAATTGGCTTACTTTAGGTATACTAATATATCCCTAAAAATCACAGTTCGGCTTGGTTCCAAGTGAGAAACCATTGCCAATATGGTTTAATGCACTCTAGAATTCCTTGCCATATTTTAAGTTTAATCAGCTGTCACTCTTATGTTTTTTTACACAGGGCCATCCAGAGTAGAGACGTGGCCCAGTTCAGAAATGTTGTAACACAACTGGAAGCTGATTTAGACATTACCAAACGACAACTGGGGACGGAGCGCTTTGAAAGGTAAGTTTGTCTCTGCAGTGTTCAGTCTGGAAAGCACTTTTTTAGATAGTAACAAATTTTGGTAATTTCATGATGGTTAGCTTTTAAAGTATGAACTGAACTCCAGTTTTATGATAGTATTAATAACATCAGTAGCTATAAAGTTTAAAAGCCCCTTATTTTGCTTTAGGGAGAGAGCTGTGCAAGAACTTCGTCGCCAGAATTACTCAAGCAACGCTTATCATTTGAGTTCTACAATGAAGCCAAATACAAAATGTCATTCACCAGAACGTCCTCACCATCGATCTCCTGACCGAGGCCTAGATCGATCATTAGAAGAGTAAGTAGTTTAAAGATCCATTCTTTGGGAACCACATAGCAATACTTGAGGGACTAAGGAAGCTCAAAAACAATCTATCTCTAATTGTGCTCTTTAGACACAATTACATAGGTAATATAGACATATAAACATAATAATATACATAGGTATATTAAAAATATAACATAAAAATAAAATCTTTTGATACTTTTATATAAATTTTCTAAAATGAAAGATCTTCATTCTATATAATGTTTAGATAAATTATATTTTTAAATATGATTTTCTTTTAATTCTAAAACGTATTTTTTCATATACTTTCATTAATAAAATATTGGTTAATGATTATAGCACCATAAAATACTTATGCTTTAGGAAAGTAGTTTATTTTTCAGAGGGGAATATTTTAGATATATTCCTATATGTCAAAAATTTTGTAAAAACATTTGTTTTTTTGGAATAAATTCAAACTTACATAAGAAGTTATAAAAAGAAAATAATGCAGACAACAGCTATATACCTTTTACCCATACTCATTGCTGTTAAAAGTTTACTCCATTTACTTTCGATGTGTTTGAGACAACACATTTGCTGTCCCATGTACTCACACTCTTGCATATATTCCTTCTTTCCATACATGCAGGCACACACCTGCAAACACACACACACACGCATGCACGTGCACACTCATGCACACAAACATTTTTTTTTATGGTTAACAGAATACAGAATATTTATTTATTTATTTATTTATTTTACAAAGTTTATTGTCAAATTAGTTTCCACATAACACCCAGTGCGCATCCCCACAAGTGCCCTCCTCCATGCCCATCCCTCCTTCCCCCCCACATCCATCAGTCCTCAGTTTTTGTCAGCATTGAAGAGTCTCTCATGGTTTGCCTCTCTCCCTTTCCCCCACCATTTTCCCGCTTCTTCTCCCCCTTGTTCCTCCGTAAAGTTCCTCCTAATCCTCCTATACGTGCAAACATATGATATTTGTCCTTCTCTGCCTGACTTATTTCGCTCAGCATAACACCCTCAAGGTCCATCCACGTTGCTACACATGGCCAGATTTCATTGTTTCTCATTGCCATGTAGTATCCCATGGTATAGATAAACCACATCTTCTTGATCCATTCATCTGTTGATGGACACTTAGGCTCTTTCCATGTTTTAGCTATTGTGGAGAGTGCTGCTATGAACATTGGGGTACATGTG